ATCATGACATGATATGAGATGCATGAAAACGAAAATAACACACGGAGACAAAGACCCGAACCCGAGAAATAAATATAACTTAACGCCGGAAACGACAAGAGTTGGAGTACAAATAGGGAAAGTTACATCCGGGGTGTTACAGATTCATAAATATTTCTATTTTCTGCTTCAGTATTCACTGAAAGGCTGGACTACGTTTACATTTTGTTCTTTAAAATGGTAGTGTTTGTAATTCGTTTCCCGACATTTTGTGCATCTTCTCGATTCTGGTGGATTAAACTCATGTAAGCTAGCTTTGTAACATTTGGCTGCACGTATAAACTGATCTTAACACATCCGTTTGGACTTTTGATTTTTTTTTTGTCCTCGTAATTTGCAGATTCACATTTTTCCCACCTTTTTGTTTGTTAGTAAAATACTTTAGAACTTATATACTAGCAATAGAAATTAGGACAAACTTTGGGTGGCACTAGGTGCAACAAAAATTGTGCCATGGCAGCGGAATTGGACTGACGCTACAGTTCCCACTTTTAAAGGTTCGGTTGACCTTTTCCATGTCATTTATCTTGTGATTGTGGCCCATTTCTTTTGTAAGTGATCAACATTAATACTTGGTTTTGTTACTCATGGATGTTGGACACTGGTTAAGTATTACAGGCGGATTATGTTGGCTTAGTTTGCTACAATTTATGCCCGTTAAGAGAATAGTGGATACAACTATAATATCTATGTAGTGCATTTTTTAGTAATGTAGAAGCTTCTAAATTATTGACTGTGAGTATCTCACACAAACTTATCTACTTTTTCTATGCTTTGTGATTCTATCGTGCCCTATCTTTAGAGTCACTCTGATTCAGTTAATTCAATGCCCGGCAATATCATCAATTCAACAAGCAGTTACTCGAAATTCCATCGCCCCAAATGGCATAGGATACCTCGGGCATCCAACTTCTGGCATAAGTTTTTGTGCATTCAAAAATTTAGGAACCTGAACCACAAGGGCAAATGGAAGGCACCTTTGATCGGTAATCCAGGTAACCTCAGCTTCCCCACTACTATACATCCAGACTTCCGCCCGTTTATCTCTTCTGCTAAACTATAATATAGTGAAGCATCAAAGCTCATACGATTTTTCCCTTGTTTATGCAGAGTACATGGATGATTCTTACACCTATGCTTTTGATAGGCTGATGCACATTGGCGTTGAGCCAAGGTAGGTTAGTGCTTCACAAGGACCAGCTCTAAGCATGACTTGTGCAGATATGGGAAAGACGCCTAGGTAGGCCTCCTTTCTGAAGAAAAAATATATATGGGAAAGAAGACTAGATGAAAAATCTTGGGGAAGACTTTGGTGAAGAAGAACAAGGTGAATTTTATCAGTTCAACAAAATCAAGTTTGTTCCTGCACTTTGATGTTATGAATCACTGTGTAGTAAGCAGGAGTGCTTCTCAATTAATATTTTATATGTTTGTTAGAAATTGAAGAAACAAATATCTATCTGGTAGTCTATAATGGGTTTTGAGGCTGGTTCATTGCTACACATATAGTGGAGAGCTTCCTAAAAATTGGAGGGCACTTGTTGTAGCCTTATAATGTATTATCTCGGGTATTACATTTCTCATCCCATTTGCCAACATTTTGAATGAGTTTAAATGTTAGCACTCTTAGATAATTGACAATGTTTATTCAAAAGATTATACTGCAGTTCTACGTGAGTTTCTCATCATAATTCTTTAAATTTCAAATCAGATACAAGTGCAACAAAATATAGACATGACAAGCTACTGAGCTCTCACATTTGAATGCTAATGTTCCTTTGTAGACATGGGTTTATTACCATGGTGCTAGCATTAGGTTCAACCTTCTAAACTTTTTTTTGCTTTTCTTTGTTATTTCATGTCTTCTTGCGGTCTATTTTCTATTATATAAAAGTAGTATTTTTCCATTTAGCTTCTTCATGGTCAACAGGATTCACTAATAGCATGGGCTGGAATTCGTATTGGCTTTGTACAGAGGAATAGCAGTTTCATATTTCTCATACTTGCTTTCCATGTTATTCTGTTGCTGGCTCATAGTTTCACCAATTTACAGTAGCAGGCTTCCAACTATCTTATGGTTCTATATTTGTGCATTATTTATCTCTCATGCATAAGAAATTATGCTATACAGAAAGTTGACTTTCAAGAAACAATTATTCCACAACACTTTACGTGGATTCTAAAATGAACATTGAATGTCAAGAAACATTTATTCCAGAAAGTTGCAGTTTGCTTAGGAAACATACAATTCTTGTTGTAAGTACTAGTACTACTGTAACAACCTTTTCGTATTTTTAATTTATATTGGGTGTTGTCATGGTAAGAGACACTTTTGTATTGTGCATATATTTCTTGCTATTTGTTTTCCATCTTGTTGAAGTTGGTAAAATATTTAGACGTCACCTACCCGAGTTTCTTAATGAATGTTGAAGTTTTGTTTGTTGATCTGATAATATACTAGCTTAGCATCGAACATATTAAAAAATACCACTGAAATTAATGTATTGTGTAATCATGTACATATGTTTGCCTATTCTCTTGTTAGGTGGCATCAACTAAAGCAAGGCTTGGTTTATAAAATGGATGCAAAGCAATTAACATGTTGAATTTTACATGGGAGGAGGGGGTGCACTATATCCTCCATATGACTTTATTCATCAGTTGCTATGTATATTCCTGTTTCCTTTGGCAAGAAATGTATATTCACAGAACTCCTTAATTTGAAAACCATCATGTTGTTATATCTTGACACTTGTGCTTGTGATATAATTCTTGTGTATTCTGAAGTTAAAACACACACAGTACAAACGCCGATGTTTACAAACAGGTACACACACTCATCCTTATGAATGCATGCATGCACACTCTACCCATATGAGCACCTCCAAGATACTGAGCCAGTTGGTCTTGAGATTATCGACAAAAACATCGCCCACCATGACAATCGTCACTGTTTTCAAATGTATGTGACAATGAGAGAATATTAACGTGAGGTGTTTATTGAATTCATGCTCCAGCCAACTCATCAAAAAATCAGAACTGATGAAGCGAGATGGACAATATATTTCAACTAAATGTAATGCACTATCACATTTAGGCTTATTTAGTGCTTAGATGTGTGATCGATGTAGAACGTAGGATCTTCTATTTTAATACTGCGTTGGTGGGGTCTTGAACTCAAAAGACCTCTTGACTTGGATACCATATTGATTCATGCTTCAGCCAACTTATTCAAAAGTTTGAACTAATGAAGAGAGATGGGCAATATATTTCAACTAAATGTAATGTACTATCATCCGTTGATGGAAAGGATATGAACAATGAAAAAGAAGAGAGATGACTATGTGATAGCAAGGTCGGAGGTGAGGTCCAAGGTTTGTCAGAAAATAGGAGGCAGCTAGGGAGAATTAACATTTTTTTAATTTTTTTTGCGGGAGAATGCACATGATGTCACGTCTTGTTGCGATGGTGAATATGGAGGAAATGGAAAGAAACGAGATATGAAATATTACCTTATGTCTTCCCACAATCTTGGTATATATCTAAAAATATATATTACCTGTATATGTAGAAAAGTTAAGGGACAACATCTTCGTGAAGAAGATAAAAGATGACCACAACTTATGCTCTTGGACTCATCTATATTTCTTTTGTGCCCGTAGCAAAGCACGGGCATTCTAATAGTTATATTCTAACGCAAACAGCTGTTCACTGTAGCTCTGGTCCATCGGCCGGTGTAAACAGCGCACCACGGAGCCGCCCCTCCCAGCTATTCTCTCCCTAGTCCCTACTTTCCTAAAAAAAAAAGCTATTCTCTCCCTACTACTCAAAAAAAGAAAAAGCTATTCTCTCCCTACTACTCAAAAAAAGAAAGAAGCTATTCTCTCCCTACTACTCAAAAAAAGAAAGAAGCTATTCTCTCCCTCTCCTCCCGACCCGACACAAGCCGAATTCCCCAACCCCTCCTAACCAAAGCACCGCGTCGGCGTCCAAACCCTAGCCCCGCGCGCGCGCGAGTTGCGAGGAGGGCAGGAGGATGGACGGCCCCAAGAGGTCGCTGCTGCGGGTGCGGCTCCGGGTGACGGCACGCCGGCGGGGCGGCGATGGAGCGGACAGGGCCGGGCCGGGCGGTGGCACCGGGGGCGAGCGGAAGCGGCGCATGGACGCCCCACTCATCAACTCCGCGGCCAAGCTGCAGCGCCGCGAGATCGGGGGGCGGCAGCTCGCCGCGCGCGGCGGCGGCGCCGCGGCCGCCGTGCCTGAGCGGTTCCGGAACATGCAGCTCCAGGTAAGCTACCAACCGCGGCGTCCCCCTGCGCATTTTTGGGGATGGTGTGGCCGGTGGTCTCCGGATCTCTATGGTTTGGCTTCTCGTTGGTCGTAATTGAAGAGGCGAAGCCATCGTTTTGTGGCGCCGTGAATGGTTTGGGAGGCAAAATTGATGGGGAGTTTTGCTTGAGGGTGACTTTCTTTTGCGTTAACTTTAAGGTTGTGATCCGGCAGAAGTTTTGGTTTTCGGGACCGAAGTTCGTTGAGTTCATACGGAAAAATGTCAGATCTTGAGGGTTGTTCCGAGGGTTCTGTATTGTGTAGGCAGCGTTGAGACTGTTACTTCTGGCATGCGGAGTTCCATTTCAGATAATTGAATTGCCAGTATCTGGGTTATGGCTACTGAATTGAGTTGTGGCGTCCCCTGTTAGGATTGGATCTTTGGTATTATGCTACGGGTTATTCAATAAGTGAACCAGATGGTTTAAAATGGCATTTCATGAAATCGTTTTAAAAGGACCTTCCAAGTTCCAACTATCTCAATACTCACGAGAGTGCGTATCATATATTAAAGGGGTAGGAAAGGGTTACAGAAGAAACCCTGCCGCCAGAGTGGGATTGTTACACGGTAGCCCGCCGGCTACCATTCCACACACGCCCTACATCCAACTACTCTGGATACACCCACCGCTATGGCCGCGAGGAAATTCGCGCGATCACCCTTAAGGATCCCGGCCGATTGCCAAACACGCTCCTCCAAATCAATCCGACGTATGACCTCCTGGAATGACGGCAGGGCACCGTCAAAGATGATGGCATTCCTATGCTTCTATACCTCCCACAGCACCAAAGTGATGAGGGTCCTGAATGGAAACAATGGTGTTCGCCAGGGCCATCCTATCTAACTGCACATATAATACTGAAGCAACTTTTTTACTAAGTAGTGATGTCTGTATTTTCGGAACCAATATTCCGACGCGAACTACTACCCCTGTTTCTAAATATAAGATGTTTTGGCAGTTTTAATTGAACTGCCAAAAAAGAAGTACCCCCTCCTATCCAAATTAATTAAAGCACACTTAGTACAACTTTGTACTAAAGTATACAAAGTGTGTATGGTTATAATAAGTGTGTGTAAAGTTGTACTAAGTGTGCGTCAATTAATTTGGATCGGAGGGAGTACCACTAATTATATTATACCATTTTAACCATATGCATTTAGAGTGTTTACTTTCTTTCCAAAATAAGAAGTACCTCTAATTATATTATATTGGAGGAAAGGAAAAATGGCCTAAAAAAGAGGGATCGTACACCGCTGAAGTACATGTCCGGGTCACGCCTATGTGTATGGGTTATACTAGAGAAGAATTGAACAGGGCACCTTATCCTATGTAGCCATTACTGGTTGAACTTGCATCTGCCAGTGCAACTATGCACAATAACACACCACACAAAATTTTGAATAGCTGGAGTCTGGAGACTGCTTCAAGTCACTCGAGCTGACTCAGTTTGCCACCTTCGTTGACCTGGTTAGAGCATCTCCAACCGGGGACCTCAAATCCTCCTCATATGTCCGGGTGGACAGCCTGGATAGTGCTCGGACAAGAGAAAGAAGGAAAAAGGCTACCCAACCAGACCTCATAAATCATCCTCGTATGTCTGAGCTGTCCGCGAACCTCAAATCCAGTCCATATGTGAGGAGGAAATGAGGGCGTCTGGGCGTGCCAGGACAGCCCGCCATGTCGAACCTGGACCACCCTGGACCACTTTTTTCTTTCTTTTCTCTTTCTCCATCCCCACCAATCATATGCATGTGCCCTGACAATTTGGGGGGACACCGCTGCGTGCACGGACAAATCAGTGTTCGAAACGGACACACCCGGTCACCCGGACACTGACCGGGTGTGTACGCGGACATATAGGGGCTCAGATTAGGCAAGTCTGTTTGGAGATGCTCATACAATTTTCTGTTGCTTGTTGAAAAGCATATGTTTTGGGGGTATTTTGCAGCCTTAATAAGCTAGCTTAAATAGCTTGTTACTTGCAGAAGACTGGATTTGAGCCTCGAAGCATTTGTGATTACTAGTAAATGCACACGTGCAACGCACGTTAATATTTAGGCAATATATTAACTGCACGCGTTGCACGTTAATATTTAGACAATATATTAATTGCACGCAGATATTAGGTATGCTATTATTTGTGTGTTAATTTTGTGATTAGTGCAATATTTGGTATGATATTAATTGCACGTTAAACACGTTTAACGCTCGCCATTGGAGCAGTGTAGGTCGTTGGATTGACTTAGTTTGATGGCCGAGATCAATTGGATCTGCCCCTTTGGGTCTTTTTATATTGGTATAGATATAGATATAGATACTTCTCGACGTGGCTATTTTCCACTCCCTCCGTCCCATAATGTAATACGTTTTTTGACACTACACTAGTGTCAAGGAATGTCTTACATTATGGGACAGAAGGAGTACGTTAGATAAGCTTAAACTGTGTCACTTCCATGTGATAGTTATAATGCTCAAGATAACTCAGTGCTGACCTGCTGGATCCTGATTCCTTATTTGCTGAATTAGTGGTTCTATTGTTTTTTCCTCAACTTCGGTTTTTGTAGTAGAAGACCCAAAATGGGCATATCGTTACATATTTAGCTAGCGAAATTTCAGCTAAGGTGTACAACTTGTGTCTATATGTAATCTGCTACTCCCTTCACAAATATAAGATGTTCTGAACTTTTTTCTGAATCGGATATATGTTTGTTCACAAACTTATGTTTTAATGTGTTTGTTCACTCATTTCAGTCAGTATGTAGTCCATATTCAAATATCCAAAACATCTTATATTTATGAACAGAGGGAGTACTAAGACTTCCACTATGTACAATTGCTCACCTTTTATGTTATTCTTATTTGGGAAAAATTACATTATATTTTCCTCTTAATATGAATCATCTAAATAAGAGTAAAGCGACATCATAAATAGCTTCCAGTATGTATAATTGCTCGTCCTGTATGGGGTTCTTAATTGAGAAAAAACTACATTACATGTTCCTCTTAATATGAATCATCTAAATATGAGTAGACTGACATTATTAATATATATTTGGTGCAGGAAGAGTTTGACACATATGATCATGATGCTCACCTATTTGTGAAGCTACAGTTTCTCAAAAAAAGATCCAAAATTATTGAGATCGTCGCAGCAAAAGATATTATATTTGCTCTTGCTCACTCTGGGCTTTGTGCTGCTTTTAGTCGAGGTAGGTATTTGCACCTCCTGTAAAACGTGTCTGTATTTGACAGGCAGTGATGAAGACCAGTGATGTTATTTGACCTCTTGCATTGTGTTTTTGCTTCTGCAGTAACAAATAAGCGGTTATCCTTCTTGAATTTAAGCCCGGACGAAGTGATCCGGAGTTTGTTCTACAACAAGAACAACGATTCACTTATTACTGTCTCAGTTTATGCATCAGACCATTTTAGCACATTGAAGTGCAGAACAACCCCAATCGAGTAAGAGCATATGCTAATGCCTTAATCTGTAACTTGTCAAGAAACACTCTTATATATTCCCTCCGTTCCTAAATATTTGTCTTTCTAGACATTTCAAACAGACTACAACATACGGATGTATGTAGACATATTTTAGAGTGTGAATACACTCATTTTGCTCCGTATGTAGTCACTTGTTGAAATCTCTAGAAAGACAAATATTTAGGAACGGAGGGAGTATATTTTACTGTTACCTGTGATTTTCTATATTTACAAGTTATGCAATTGCATATTTAGTTTTTTTTTACTTTTTCATGATAATGTCGCTATTTTCATTGAATACAGTTAACTTACTAAAGTTCTTATATGTTCAATATATATGCGTTCTTTCAGGTATATAAGGAGGGACCAATTAGATGCTGGGTTTCCTCTTTTTGAATCGGAATCTCTAAAGTGGCCTGGCTTTGTTGAGTTTGATGATGTAAATGGAAAAGTACTCACTTACTCGGCCCAGGATGGGTATGCCTTCTTAAACATTTGTCACATTATAATGTGCACTAAACAATGTTTACTGTTGTAATGGTCATACTTTTTCTGGCAGTATCTACAAGGTTTTTGATCTGAAGAACTATTCCTTTCTATATTCAATACCTGATACCAATGTGCAGGAGATAAAGATTAGGTCTGCACCCTTTTCCTTGTTTATTATATTTTTCGTTTTCATATTCGAACCATGTCAAGTTATTCCTTTGATTTCTCCTTTCAGTCCAGGAATTATGCTCTTAATATATGATCGAACGCCAAGTTATGTTCCTTTGAGGATATTATCTATTGAAGATGGAAAGCCACTCAAATTATTCAAGCACTTGTTGCACCGCGGCAAGAAAATTGATTTTATCGAGCAATTCAATGAGAAGCTCCTTGTGAAGCAAGAAGACGAGAACCTTCAGATACTTGATGTATGGCACGATACATCAGTTTATTATACTTATCTTGTAACTTTTACTGTTTTGTAAGCCTAATAGCTTCTTCTTCATGAAGGTACGAAGTTCTGAGCTAATTGAAATCAGTATTGAGAAGTTTATGACCCCGTCAGCATTCATTTTTCTGTATGAGAACAATCTCTTCTTGACATTCCGAAACAGAACAGTTGCTGTATGGAATTTCCGAGGAGAGCTTGTTACATCGTTTGAGGACCATTTGCTATGGCATCAAGATTGTAGTACCAACAATATTTACATTACAACCGACCAGGATCTGATTATATCCTACTGTAAATCCGATGCAGCGGCTGATGACGGTACAGGTGCACCCTAATTTCTTCTCCAACAATTAAATTGCATTATTTGTGTCCAACTACTTCCTGTCATTTGGATAGTCTGCCCACAGTGGCAAGTTGTACTTGCATGTATGCTCTGTCATCTACGGATTGCTAATATCAATATATTGGGCAGTTATACAAAGATAAGATATGGTATATGACCAAATAAATGTGATTAAATTCATTTGGTTTTGTACAACTAGTTATGGAAAATTATCTTAACTCAAGTGATGCACATGCAGCTTCTTCAATTGGATCCATCAACATGAGCGACATTATGACTGGCAAGTGCATTGCCAAGATTGCAGCGAATGATCCTGCCCTTAGTATAGCCCCTCGCAAGAATGGTAGCCCTTCAATCTGGAGTAGTATCCCAGAAGCTCTGGAGGATGTCACAGCACTGTTCTACGACGAGGACAGGAACGAGATCTACACTGGCAACAGTCAGGGGCTGGTGCATGTATGGTCCAGTTAGGTGGTATATATATACATGTCACTTTTTGATGTGATGAGAAGATTGGATGCATTCAGTGCTGCATTCTGTGTCATCTCCAGGTTTGGTTACCTCTGCAGTAGATTGTAATTCCTGGGGGGCAGTATGAGAAAATGTAGTTCCCTGTAAATATTTTGTGTGATAGTGTTATCTACCATGCAATAGTTAGTTTAGAAAAGGCTCATCTACAGCTTTCTGTAGGAACCTTGTGCTATTTTTCATTTATGTCCATGAAATGATGCGTTTTCAACAAATTTACATGTTTCTTGACTCTGGTAATCATCTTTGGAATTTACTGAGAGGGCATAACTATGCTATGTACCCACTTCATTTGCGTTGAGAAGAAATAAGTACTCCCTGTCCCATAATATAGGTCGTTTTTGCAAGCTAACATAGATTGTTAAAACGTCTTATATTATGGGACGGAGGGAGTATAAGAGAAGCTATTTTTTTTAAATAATACATTTTTTTATTAATTTGCACAAATATTACGCTCAAAAAAATATTTTTTGAAAATAATACACCGTCGGCCCGCAGCAGGCTGAGTGGGCCTAGTCGGCCCCTATCGGCTTGCTGTTGGCCGATTGGCCTGTCGGCCACTAGTTCAGGTCCAGTCGGCCAGTAGTGGGCCGACAGGGCCTAATTGGCCAGCTGTGGGCCGACAACGACTAATTGGCCAGCTGTTGTGCGTCGACAGGGACTAATTGGCCTGCTGTGGGCTGACCGGTGCATGCCACCATTTTTTTTCCGAACGATCATTGGATTTTTTTATAAACTATGACGTATTTCGTGCAACCCTTTGCCCGTAATATTTTTCCGCCATATGTTTGCGCCAACTTTTTCCCGCCACCCGTTTTCCGCCATATGTTCGCGTCAACTCTTTCTCGCCATATGTTCGCGCCAACTCTTTCCCGCCATATGTTCGCGCCAACTCTTTCCGCCACCCGTTTCCCGTCATATGTTCGCGCCAACTCTTTCCCGTCACCTGTTTCCGCCATACTGCAGTCGTTCTTTCCCGCCATTTTCTCATCCCTACCTATAAAACCTCCTTCAGACAGGAGGATAAGCATTCCAGTGTAGTGTAGTTGAGATGTCCCATTATCCTTTCGATCGTAGTTTTCACCCTGAGATGAGCAGGACTCTAATGAGGCTAGCTACCGATTTCAGGATGGATAATAGGATAGTTTCATGGGACGAACTCACCGGTAGTGACACCATAATGAATGAGTTGGCTCACGAATTACGTATGTCTGGGTGGCCTGAAAGGACCTATGAGGAGGTACGTATAGAACTTCTTAGGTTGCATGCAAGGTGGAAGAAGGTAGTGGAGCCGGAGAGTGAAACTTTCAGAAGGACTGCAGAAAAGCATCTCTTGCAGCTTTCCCGTCCCTCACCGCTGCATCTCTTGCAGCTTTCCTGTCCCTCACGTGTCTCTGCGTGCACACATTAAGTCTGTCGCGTATCAAATTGTACCTCCATAGCTGGTTCTGCTTGCAGAGTTTTTTGAACAGATTCATCAGATTCTTATTTCTAAACTGCGAGAAGAAATTAGCCCCCAAATGGCGCATGCACCAACGGCTCTGCAAGTCCTGCCATGGAACTTGTTCCTCAGGGCCTGGGTTTGTCAGTGTCCTTATCGCACTGAGTATACCTGCATGCCTGTCATGAAGGATGCACACATTGGGCTTCTCCTTCACAATTGATATTTTCAACTGCCTGAAGAACCATGTCCAACTTTCAGTGTTCTCACTCTCCACAAAAGCAAATGCGAGTGGGATGACTTGATTTTGGCCGTCTTGACCTATGGCTGTTAGGATCTGACCCTTGTACTTGCCTGTGAGAAAAGTACCGTCAACATATATCACCGGTTGGCAATGCGTGAAAGCTTCGATATACACCGAAAGAGAAGAAGAGACGATGCAACACCCTCACAGTTGGGAACTCTGGCATGAACATGTCTTGGATATCAATATATGTGCCTGGATTCCGCTGCTGCAGGGTGTGGAGGAGCTGGACAACAGAGTCATATGCATCAAAATAAGAACCAAATCTCCTCTCAAGCGCCGCATGCTTAGCCCTCCAAGCCTTGCCATAAGAAATTCTGTACTTGAACCTGGCGAAGACTTTTGTTTGGACTGCCTTCACTTCCATAGCTTTGCCCTGCACTATCTCATCGTAAAACAACCGAGCAATAAGCGTCGATGAAAGGTTGGCATGATCCCGAGGGATGCAGGGAATAAGACAACTGTGATTAACTAAGTCACTTATCACCCAACTTGTGCCATACTTAGGGAGAAAGCCGTGCACCCTGGCGGGACAATCTGCGTTCTTGCATACCATTGTCAGGAATTTCTGACTAGACACCTGAGCTGTGAAAACCCTTTGCGTGGACATTGCCCAGTTAATTATTGCATCTTTCAGGGCTTGCTTGTTCGGATACATAGCACCCGTCGCAATATTGTTCTGGTGATATTGCCAGGCTGAATCATGTCCATCATTCACGGTCATTGCAGATGAGAAGTCATGATTCCACGATGCAGGATTCGGGACCTCCTCTGCATTTTCTTCTTCATCTGACTCGTCAGAATCATCGACATGACCCCTTTCAACATCGGTGTCTTCTTCTTCCATCTGGTCCTGCATGTGCCCATCTACCTCGTCAGCGTCCACCTCGCCATTGTAATCACCATCGGCATTTCCTACTTCTACCTGACTACTCTGCCCTGGTTCATAACCATAAGCATTTCCTCCTTCTACCTGACTGCTCTATCCTTGTTCATAACCATCATCTCCAGCATTTGACATAGATAACCGCCTCCCTACACTGCTATGACCAGGATCGTAGCCACCCTCGCCTTCATGTGCAGTGACCTCCTTCACGACGGGAAGCACTAAAGCAACAGGATTGCATCCCCTTCGTTCACAACCTTGTAACCACCGCACCCATTCGGAGTCTCGCTCTATCGGCCTCAAATAAAAGTAAATTATTGAATTTGACCGTGTCCACAATGCATGAACACCGACGGTGTGTGTTTCAGTATCAAGACCTAAACTTGCCGCAATCCATTCTTTCAACTGACTGACAGACCATGTTTGAGGTGCGCTCATTGGCACATCTATATGAGTAAATTCACTCAAATCTGCTCCCATCTCAGTTGTTTGGACGGTACCAGGACCATAGCAAAATCTGAAGTTCACTACATCGGACATCTCGGCTCACCTATTTTTTTCAACAACGAAATACAGGTATTAAGCAACAACTTAATATACCCCCACTAAGAAATATTAGACATGTCTATATATTAGCTAGCTATATATTACAGAATATTAACGGAGTAACTAATACCATTGAAAAAAATAGCGCTATATCGCCGCTAATAGCACGCTATAGCATATAGAGAATTGTCTCGCTAAAATAAATCAATGTACTACCGGAGCATTATAGCACGCTAATAGCATATTTCAGGGGTGACGCTATTTTCTGTAGCGCGCTATTTTTTTCATTGACTAATACTACCGGAGCAACTAAAATATTTTTACACAACTAATTAGTTAACATCTAAATATATTTACGTATACTACCGGAGTAACTAACAATAATCACACACCTAATTTATTTCACATCGAAACATATTAACAAATACTACCGGAGCACCTACGAAAATAAAATGTTGGTTGAAATATACCCTTGAAGCGTGCGTGCGAACGACGAATGACGGCCTTCAATCACCGGAATCGGAGCGGGAAACTCCACCAAACTGCCGGAGCTTCACCTCCACCGCCTCCACCACACTGCCCCAACTTCTCCACCACCACCTCCACCTCCACCGCCGCAACAAGCTCCACCAATGAGCTGGAAAAAAAACTCCACCTAAATGCTCACCATGACCGCCACGAGCTACCACATCAGTAGATCGAGGTCTCTTTTGGTTGCCCTAACTGAGTAGAATCCATTCACGGTGCCAAATCCGCAAATAAATGGTTCATTTAGGTGTAGAAATTGGGGGCATTTTGGTGTACAGAGAGGAGAAGGAAAGAACAGAAGAAGAACCCTCGCGTGCGTGGGAGGAGGAAGAAGAGGCAGGGAGCCTGCCGTGCCGCGCGAGGTGGGTCCACACCCTGTCAGCCCGCAGCTGGCCGATCGGCCCGCGGTAAGCCGATAGGCCTGCGGTAAGCCGATAGGGGCTCGCCCCGTGACCGCCGCGCCGACAGCTCCCTCTCTCCCCCTCGCGACGTGGCCTGCCCAATCTGCGCGCGACACGTCGCAGGCTGGCCAGCTGTCGGCCAGCTACTGGCCGAGTGCACCCAGTCGGCCTGCCGTGGGCTGACTAGGCCCAGTCGATCCGCAGCGGGCCGACGGTGTATTATTTTTGAAATTCTTTTTTTAAGCGTAATATTTGTGCAAATTAATAAAAAATATGTATTATTTAAAAAAAATTAGCACAAGAGAAAGGGTGCCAAAGTGTGTCTCTTCTTGTACCTTGAGCGTGTTTGTGTGTCTTGTATCCTGGGAAAGCAAACAGGTGGCGGCCTGTGTAGACCCAACAGGTGACTTGATTGGTGCCTGTGATAGGCGGGTTGAGTGATTGTAACATCAGCATAATGGTGCCTGTGATACGCTGGTTGAGTGATTGTAACACCAGCATAAGTAAATTTGGTCATCGCCTCCTGCTACCTGAGCATTTTCAGTTCTAATTCAAGTTCTGTAACCAACAAAACGCACAGCGAGTCTAAGAGCATCTTCAGCCGCGCCCTCAACAAGGTCCCCAGACGATATTTCAGCCGCCGGCGTCGAAAAATCGACCCAGTCGCGTTCTTAAAGGCCTTTTTTTGCCGGCTCAGGCCGAAATTGGCGCCGGCGGACCTAGGCCGAACCCGGCACGCTGGGGGCGCCGACCGAATCGTTTTTGGCGCGAAAGTCGGCGTGCCCTCCTTGGCAGCGACTCGGCTCTTCTCGCCGCTTCGTCGTCCTCATCGCCTCG